GATACACCACCTAACTCCATCCTGCTCTGGATGTAATATTTTCCCAGCATATTCATGTTGCATTTGTGACCTGCCTGTCAGTCACTAAGTAGCCTCTCAATTATGAGACCAACCATAGTGGTACCACAGTATTTGTGTTCAAATATATCCTTTATTTATTTAATAATGGCCTCAAAGCACAGAAGTTGGCAATTTTATTGCAGTATATTGTTCTATTTCATATGATAATTCAGTACTAATGAGCAAGTATAATGCTCAAGATTATATGTGATTTCCCATGACAGAAGCAGGAGTTCTGAGAGAAATAGTACTGTCCTGCCCGGAGCAGGACATTTATTACACTGGTCAAAGAATCCTATGGCTAAAGGTAAGCTAACCTGTGTACTAAAATAAAATATTAAAATTTTGTTTATATATGTTTATTAAAATGTTCAAATTAAAAGTTTTTTTAAATTTCTAAATATGAATTTATAATGGTTTAACTTGACAAACTTCAGCAAATTCTAGAGTGCCAATCACTATTCTAAAAGATTTTAAAGGGAAAGAGTATCATTTCTCTTTCCTGTCCTGTAAAAACATTAATTCAAGTAAATAGTTGATGACAGCATCTTCCTTTAGGGGGGGAATTTCAGCTAATAAACCAGAAGGAATCTCTAATAAAATAATGACCTGAGCAATGGTGATCCATTATTGCTGCTAAAATTTTTAAGTAAAAAGTTGATGGCTATCATTAAAAGAGACCAATTCTGAATGACAGCACATGAATCCACTGGTCAATCTCAATATTTCTAAAATGGGACAAATGTATAACAAAATAAAATACACACAGGATCACATATGAAGTATTGCTGCCCAAGAACTGATCTAATAGAGCCAAATTATAGGAAAAATAGAATGAAAGAATGTTTCAAACAGCATGAGGAGGTAAACTGCCAAATCCAGAGTAAGAGGCAGAGGTTAGCAAATTATTAGTATCTTGTTTTTGTATAACCCATGAAATAAAATTGTTTTTTGCATTTTTAAAGTGTAGTTAAAAGAAAGGCGGGCATTGAGAGAGAATGAGAAAGAATATGCAATACAGACCTTACGTGGCCCAAAAAGTCTATATAGTAATATATTCTTCTTGGCAGGGATAAGTTCTAAGACCTCCACTAGATGCCTGAGACTGCAGATAGCATTGAACCTTATGTGTACTATGTTTCTCCTATACATGCCTATAATAAATTTTTATAAATGAGGGACAGGAGATAAACAATAATAAAAATGAAATAATTTTTATACTGTTAAGTTACCTTATGTACTGGATCTTTTCACTTACAAAAGCAATTTAAAAATTCTCTTTGGAATATCCAAATTGCCAGCATTATTACTCTGGTGCCTTGGTACCATAACTAAGTAAAAGAAAGGTTATTTGA